ACCCATTTCAGGTCCTGGAGTTTCTTTTAATGAGCTAATGAGTTGAATCAGGTGTGTTTGATTAGGGGGAGACACAAAATATGCAGTGCTGGGGGGCGCCCAGGACCAGGGTTGAGAAGCACTGTTCTACAGCATTTTAACAGTAATGAGTGACTAGTCTTTTTGAGTGAGCCATTGATTTGTTCAACTGTTTTGTTCAAAAACACTGACTCAATCAGGAATGAAACAAATGATATCTTAATGAGTGAGTCACTGAATCAACTCAACTGATTTGTTCAAAAACACTAAATTAGGAACAAAACACAGCAATTGTGCATTGCTTAGAGTCAGAATTTCAAAATAAACAAAATAGCACAATATTGTGCCTAAAATTTAAGTTACGTAATATTAAATTCCTGTTTGTTGATTTGTCTTACGAGGCAATTGACTTTTCACTGTTAGTATCACTCTGCTTGACTATGTTTGCATGTTCCAGACAGATTGTCAGTCTGTGTACTATTTGTGAAGGATTTTTGACTCTTTCTGCAGGTTACAGTTCACCAGTAGGTGGCGACGAGTGTCTTTTTTTAGTAAGTCATTGAATATTACTATCAACCAATTCATTCAAAAACACTTACTCATTCAGGAATAAAACGTGACATCTTTATGAGTGAGTTCTTAAATCACTCAACTGATTCATTCAAAAACACTCATTCATTTAGGAGTTGAAACATTGCTACCTGTACTTTGCAGTGCTTGGAGACAAAAATGGCAGAAATAACAAAATAACCAGCAAAATTGTAACTAAAATATAAGTTACGTAATATTAAACTTTATATTGAATAGTTGTAAAAAAAAAAAAAAAACAGCATCACACTTAAATAATGCTTAATTGTGCCACAAATGCTGTTGATAACTAACTAAAAACGAACCATATCAGAAGTATAGGAGATGGTGAGATACTTCAACACATCTGCATTAGAAAAGTCTATTAACTAAGATTCAGGAAAAACACGCATTAATGTGCTTCTCTTTTGTAATAGTTGTAGAATTAGTCATTCTAGTCATCAATAAGAATATGACCTTGAAGGCTAGTTCTGGATAGGGGTAAGTTGTCATGAGACGGGTGAAAAGCATGGGGTGGGGGGTTGTCTAGGCATTGGGATAGCAGGGTGGAGGTCCTACAGAGATGAACTGGGATAGACCCCTGAAGGGCTTCTTTTAGGACTGAAGTAATTGGTGTGAAATGGTTGCATCTGTGGAGCCCCATTTTGGCATATGCTTTGTGCTAAAGTATTGTGCTTGTTTTTCATTGACCGTCCAATAATGGACCATATGATGAGATCATTATTAGATATTTCACAAATTCGCACAATCTTCAGCCTTTAATGCAAAAATGTGCACTTTTTGGTGGTGTAAGATGTTTAGACTCCTCTAGATTTAGATTAAACATATTTTCCTTATTTATTTAAATACTTAAAATAAGTCCCCTATGCATAATAATACACTGAAATACAGAATGCTAATTAAGTCTTTATGTCTTTTGGTTTGTTTTGGTCTCTTGACTATAGCCCTATTTAAAAACTTTTTTAATGAAGCCCTATATACAAAATGAACTTGTAGATTTGAATAATTTCTCCAAAGTTTCTTATAGATTATTTCAGATAGAAATGCTTTCTATCTGCCAACATTGAGCAGATGGCCCACATAGACGGAGGAATGTAACACCAAATATGAATTTAGCACCTGATTGTTTTTCATCCTCCTGAAAGGTGGCAGGAGTTGAAACATTGCTACCTGTACTTTGCAGTGCTTGGAGACAAAAATGGCAGAAATAACAAAATAACCAGAAAAATTGTAACTAAAATATAAGTTACGTAATATTAAACTTTATATTGAATAGTTGAAAAAAAAAAAAAAAACAGCATCACACTTAAATAATGCTTAATTGTGCCACAAATGCTGTTGATAACTAACTAAAAACGAACCATATCAGAAGTATAGGAGATGGTGAGATACTTCAACACATCTGCATTAGAAAAGTCTATTAACTAAGATTCAGGAAAAACACGCATTAATGTGCTTCTCTTTTGTAATAGTTCATCAATAAGAATATGACCTTGAAGGCTAGTTCTGGATAGGGGTAAGTTGTCATGAGACGGGTGAAAAGCATGGGGTGGGGGGTTGTCTAGGCATTGGGATAGCAGGGTGGAGGTCCTACAGAGATGAACTGGGATAGACCCCTGAAGGGCTTCTTTTAGGACTGAAGTAATTGGTGTGAAATGGTTGCATCTGTGGAGCCCCATTTTGGCATATGCTTTGTGCTAAAGTATTGTGCTTGTTTTTCATTGACCGTCCAATAATGGACCATATGATGAGATCATTATTAGATATTTCACAAATTCGCACAATCTTCAGCCTTTAATGCAAAAATGTGCACTTTTTGGTGGTGTAAGATGTTTAGACTCCTCTAGATTTAGATTAAACATATTTTCCTTATTTATTTAAATACTTAAAATAAGTCCCCTATGCATAATAATACACTGAAATACAGAATGCTAATTAAGTCTTTATGTCTTTTGGTTTGTTTTGGTCTCTTGACTATAGCCCTATTTAAAAAAAAAACCTGTTTAATGAAGCTCTAAATACAAAATGAACTTGTAGATTTGAATAATTTCTCCAAAGTTTCTTATAGATTATTTCAGATAGAAATGCTTTCTATCTGCCAACGTTGAGCAGATGGCCCACATAGACGGAGGAATGTAACACCAAATATGAATTTAGCACCTGATTGTTTTTCATCCTCCTGAAAGGTGGCGGCTGCTCTGAGTGTTCTCACACATGTCTCATAATCAGATGGCAGGGTGGCAGTCAGTGCCAGAGAACCAGAGACGCAGAACTCGCCGTCACTCGTGGATTAATATCTGAGCTCAGGAACTTGATGTAATCGAGAGAGAGTTTCAGCACTTTAAACATTATCGAGAGCAGCTCTGAAGCAAATCAAGTTACCTGAAGTGCTTAGAGTGAAGTAAGTGATCGAATATGATCTGGTCTTGTTGAAATCAGTTTTTTAGTCATATTTAGTCATACACTATCATTCGAGTTCTAGCAAAAATTATTTGCATTTGAAAAGCAAATAGCCTCTCTCTGCAAGGTCCGAATGTGAAAAGCTTCAGCGTGTCTTGTGTTGTTGGAAGTTTCGTGTCATTTTGAGAGAAGACGTCCTTCACCTGATTGACATGTCATGCCCAGGAGAGTTGTGGGAGGAAATGATATTCAGAGAGGGAGTGCGTTGGTGTTGTATTTCATATGAGATGCTTTGTTTGCACATGTATGGAGAAGAACGCCGGGTTGTGGATGAAGTCATTGGTGGAGGCTAGCAGATATGATGATAGACATGAACAGCTTGGCATAAAATAAACAGTTGCAACTAATGGTTATTTTGATAATCAGCTAATCTAATTAGAAGGATTTATTCACTATTCAGGTGATTAATGAATCAATTAATGTACTGTTCAGTTTTTATATTTTTTAAGAGGCTGTGCATGTGCTAACTTACAATAAAGACAAGTTGATGAATCAATTTTTAAAAAATACTTTTAATAAACTTGTGGCCAACCTCCTTCACATTTTTTTTCTACTTAGCATCCAACCTCAAAAATCGACAAAAACGTCTCTCTTAACATTTTAGTTACCTTTGGTTTCTTAATAATAATAATAATAATAATAATAATAATAATAATAATAAATAAATAAATAAATAAATAAATAAATAAAAAATAATATATAAATAAAAAATAACAGTAATTAAAAAAATATTATATATATAATTTAGTTAGTGCTGCCTTATTAATGATTGTGCATTTAGAGAGACTGTTTTTATGGAAGCCAATTTCTGCCACAGGAAAAAAAAAATCATGCTTTGTTGATTATAATTATGCTTTTATGATTATGACAAAGTCAAAAATATGAAATAAAATGAAAAAAATAAAATATGACAAAGTCATAATTATGAGATCAAAAATTGAAATTGACATAAAAAGTCAAAATGACGTCACAATTGTCATATAAAAGTCAAAACTATAACATAAAAAGTAAAAATTAACAGTTGTGAGATAAAAAGCCAAAATTATGACAGTTTTTTTTTTTTACTTTTTATGTATCACTTACCTTTTCATCATTTTGACTTTTTATGTCATAATTATGATTTACCAAAGCATGTTTTTTTTTTCTTATGTGGTGGAAATGGGCTTCTATATAGTTTTGTAACACATTGAACACAAGTACAGTAATTTTCCAATAACTGATTGTCTTATATTTTGTATTTTCACACAAATTGCTTATAGTATTTGACATTTAGAATGTAAATAGATTTTGCCATGCTAATGTTTGGAAATAAGCATATCTCAAGCACTAGATTAGTTTTCGTTTCAGTTTTTTAGCTGAATATTTAGCTGGATGGATTTGAACCTGAATCCATGTGTCTCAGCATGGATACCACTGTGAACTTATTTGTTTTCTAATAAACGGCTTTAGTTTAAATACTTTTAAACTTCAATTCAGACTCCTAGACTTTGTCAACAACCATCATTGTTTAAAACTGTTCCCACTGGAATGCTCCAGAATAAGCACGAATGACCTGCTGAAGAAAACAAACCCTGCTATTAGTCATAAAAAATTCATAATTGCACAATCTCCCCCGGTGAATGAAAAGCAGCCACAGAGTAATGCTCTCAATGCACGGTTCTCCACTGGAAGCGGTAAAAATCAGACTCATTAACATTGCTTTTCATGAACAAAGGCTGCTAATTAGAGGTGGCAACTGCAGTGAGGAGGCCCAGTCAAATCAGCTCTGAGTGAACAAGCTAATGATAGAGAGTGAGGGGAATGCGGGCCGTCAGACAGGGTGACCTTAGTGTGGCCAGCGGGTCAGGAACAGAGAGAACAACATCTGCAGGAATGTGTTTCATAGTGTCCATCACAAAAACAGATCATGCATACCTTTTGTCTTTTCCTTTCAGATCAAGAATGCTGAAGACGCAATGGATCCCCTAGTTCATTTGAGCCCACTGAGAGTCCGAATCTCTGCTCTCCCGCACCCCACGCGCCCACCTCATCCCTGGGCACCCGACCCTGCGCCTTTCGCCATCTTCTGGAAGAGTGAGTAGTTTTCTCACCGACACACGGGAGAAAGGTGAACCCTTCCTGTGTAAATATGACTGGATGGAGGTCTCAGTGGCGTCTGGTCCTGCTCAACTCGCTGACATGTGGCCTGGAGATCTGCGTGGCGGCTGGGATCACCTACGTGCCCCCTCTGTTGCTGGAGGCTGGCGTGGAGGAACAGTACATGACGATGGTTTTAGGTAAGGTTTCAGCCTAACCTTGGAATGTCGAACCAGGGTTTATGATTGGTTAATTAAGGGCTGTGCTGTAAACAGCAAGTCAAGGTTGTTTCCCACTAAGGAGTTGATCCTATAATGGGGTCCATTATCATAATTACTGGCTAAATCACTCGCTGCCCCATCCAGGTGGTAATCAGGTGCTAATTGGAAAGCACTGGACTGCAGGAAGAGGCCCGGATGCTTGAGGGTCAGCAGCTGTGTGGAAGCTTGTATAGTTTTACTGCATCCTGTTAAAATTCTATGGGACTTTCCTCTGGAATTTCATCAGAAAATATAGTCATCATGGGCTACCTTAAAGCTGGAAGCCTCTTTCTAATATTGTGGGCTTGTGCAGTCGACTGTTATCTCTTATTTAAATGTGCACTTTTTTTTCTATTTCTCACCCCCTATGTCCTGCTAATTGTGTTTTGAGAAGCATTTTCAAAAATTTCACTTCTAGGGAATTATTTTCCTTATTATTATTGTTTTCTTTATTATTCCTTTGAAAAACTGGTAGACAAAGTATTATGGAAAACTTGTAGACATTTAGTATTAAATTAAACTTGATAAGGTGTCATGTGAAAATAAATAAATAAATAATTATATATTATATATATATATATTACTATTATACACACACACACACACACTAGGGCTGTCAAGTCTATTAATCGTGATTAATCGCATCCAAAAATGTATATGTGATTTATATTATATATAAATATTAATATATATTACATATACTTCTTAAATATATACATGTATGTGTGTGTATTAATATATACATATAAATATACACAGTACACACATACAGTATATTATGTAAACACAAACGGTTATTTTGGATGCGATTAATCGCGATAATAATATATATGTATGCATACACCGTTCAAAAGTTTGGGGTCATTTTTTTAAGAATAAATGAATATTTTAATTCTGCAAGGATGCATTAAATTGATCAAAAGTTACAGTCAAGAAAAATCTATTTTAAATAAATGCTGTTCTTTTGAACTTTCTATTCCTCAAAGAATCCTGAGAAGAAGAAAAAAGTTTCCACCAAAAATGTTCTGTATTAAAATATTATAATAAATATTATAGTCATCACAGCTGTTTTCAACCGTGATAATATTAATACGTGACACTGAAGCCTGGAGTTATGATGGCTGAGTATTCAGTTTTGCATCACAGGAAGAAATTACATTAATATATTAAAATAGGAAACCGATATTAAATTGTAATAATACTTTACAATACTGTATTTTGATGCAGCCTTGGTGAAGAAACTTCTTTCAAAAGAGTTAAAAACATTTTGAATCATAACATGAATTTAAATATAAGTATTATATATTTTCATGGTTTATATATGCCACTAGGCCACGACCTGAAACAATTTAAAGTGTGCAGTTTCAAAGAGAATCATTTGCTTTTGTCTACTAGACTAAAAACTCCATGAGAACTTTGTTCATATAAAGCGACGTGAGTGATTGTTTTTATTTTTCATCCTAGAATAACAGCCCTATGACTCTAAATATTTGGCCTCTGTGTTTGAGATTTTTTTTCAGCGTGCCATTATCCATATGAACAGATGCATTATTTTGTGCCCACAAATGGCTTCCACATGGCTTTTGCTGTAAAAGAATCTCTCTCGAAGACCATTTGCCTTGCAACCAAAATAGAAAAAAGTAGTTCACAAATGTGCATGTGGGCTGGTCACTTTGCAGTCACCAGACGGACAGAAGATGTGTGGTGCGTTAATACGTACTACGCACCGCGCTCTCTTTGTCAACAGCTGCAGTGGAAAGCAAAGAAAGATCCTTTGTGTTCATTTCCATTCACAAGCTATATAAACTCACAATGTCGTTGCCATTAGAAGTGCTTTCAAAAGGTGTTGTGTGTGGTTCCATAGGTTTTGTTGGACTGTTTCTTAATGGAGTGGGGTTCGGAGGCATTTTATTCATTTCAATGTTATGGTGACCTGAGAAATAAATAAATTCCGTAGACTGGGCTTTTGGACCAGATTGATGAGTTGTTCGTGACCTCTTCTCGAACTAACAGTGCATTATAGGTATACATTTTTTCCCTGGAACTTAAACCCATGACCTTTCTGTTGTTAAAGCCATGCTTTTCCATTGGAGCTACAGGAACAATTAGGATGACTATAATGAATTGCACTGTGTAGTAAATAAAAGAGTCATATGATTAATTGTCTCAAACTGTTGCAAACAGCACAAAGGCACCTTTAAAAGAAAGTGGGCATAATCCCACTCTCCCTCCACTTTGGGAAAAACAGCATGTGTTGACTTACAGGCACAGTTGACCGACATTGTTAAATAAATCTCTTTATGGTAGGCAGTTCCAACTACAGTATTCCTCACATTACACATGGTTTGTCAATATCTGCCTTAAATGTGGTTGCCTTCAAATTTTTTAGGTGTGATTTAACACACACATGCTTCCATTTTCCGGTTTACAGCTCTTGCGGAAATGTGTTTTTGTAATGTGTGAGAATTTGCGAACATTATAATTATGCACCATGATGGCAAAAATTAATTTCAAAAACACTATATACTCTACTGTTCAAAAGTTTGAGGTCTGTAAGATTTTGTTGTTGTTGTTGTTTTAAGAAATGAATACTTTTATTCAGCAAGGACACTGAATTAATCAAAAATGACAGTAAAGACATTTATAATGTAACAACAGATTTCTATTTCAAATAAATGCTGTACTTTTGAACTTTCTATTCTTAGAAGAATCCTGAAAAAATGCATCACGGTTTCCACAAAAATATTAAGCAACACTTTTCAACATGGCTAATAAACATTTCAAGAAACATCTCTTGAGCAGCAAATCAAGGATCATGTGACATTGAAGACTTTATCATTGCAGGAATTTATAACATAATTAGATTTAACTTTTTACTTATAAAACAATTTTCATTTATAATAATAATGCTTCTGTTAAATGTAGTACCATTTTTCACAGTATACTTTAAACTAATTAATGTTTTGATATTCTTTTTCCATTAAACGTACTAAGATTTTTACAGTGTGCACTGAGTAAACGGACTCCAGTGAACTTTTAATTGCATTTTGAGCATGTTCAGGTCATCATTCCACCACGCACTTGAATAAAAATAGCTGCTGAAGATCTAGACATGAATCGAAATGGGAATCAGTGCCCGACACCAGAGTCATCTGCTTTAATTAGAAAAGCTGTGGGGATGAGGGAGCAGAGCCAGAGACTGGTCACCTTAAACAACAGGCAGCATTACAGCAGGCTGAAGACGAAGCCAAAAGATAGAGGCCATGGCTGTGATTCTTTGACATAAATGTTGTCTCCAGTGACCTAAAAACATTTTTTTTTTTATATTCATATACTTTTTCATTAGGTATTGGACCTGTCCTGGGACTTCTCTTCATCCCCCTGATTGGCTCAGCCAGCGATCACTGCAACAGCAGCTACGGTCGACGGCGACCCTTCATATGGCTGCTGTCATTGGGAGTTCTCCTAGCCCTTTTTATCATACCGCATGCTGACGTGTTGGCTGCCAACCTGAGCTGGGGCAGCACCCGCCGCAACCAGGCTCTCCAGGTGGGCCTGCTCATCCTAGGCGTGGGCCTATTGGACTTCTGCGGACAGGTGTGCTTTACGCCACTGGAGGCGTTACTCTCGGACCTCTACCGTGAACGGGATGACTGCGGACAGGCTTTCGCTATGTTCTCCTTCATGGTAAGCCTTGGAGGTTGCATAGGCTATTTGCTACCCGCCCTGGACTGGAGCGGTGGGCTCCTTTCCTTCTACCTGGGTGGTCAGGCTGAGTGCTTGTTCTCCCTCCTCATCTTCATCTTCGTGGTCAGCGTGTTAGTGACCATGAAGGTGTCCGAGGAACCCTCATCCACCCTGGAACCGGTGCTGTTGGAGCCCGGAGGGTGTTTTCCGCGCTCATGCTGCTATCTGTTTCAGTGTAAGCTGCGGGCTCTGAAGTCCGGCCCACTCATGTGCCTGCTCAGGACTTGCTGGTCCATGACACCGGCCATTTATCGCAGCTACTGCCACGTGCCACGTGTCATGCGACAGCTGTGTTTGGCGCAGCTCTGCAGCTGGATGGGTGTCATGTCCTTCATGCTCTTCTACACAGATTTTGTCGGCGAGGGACTGTACGAAGGAGTTCCCAGCGCCGCTCCGGGTACTATTCTCAGGCAACGCTATGATGAAGGTTAGTAAGTAAAATCAAAATCGACCCTATTTACTTTCTTAATGCACATTTGTTGTCTTTATTGTGAGGGATTCATCAGTGCGATTTAATCTTTATCTGTTAATGTCACTTAGCCATGTAGGTTATTGTTCTGTTTAATCTAGTAATTGTTTTTGTAAACTCATATTGGGACTTGTATAGGGATGCTCGATTTAGGGAAAAAAATTAATTGGGTAAAAACTGCATTGTAGAGAGAAAAAAAATAAGTTGCATCGGTGTACAAGTCACATATTGTTATTATTTTAAGAAATATTATAAAATACAGATAAATAAAACTAAACATTTACAAACATTATAAACACTATAAACATGTAGTTCTTTTCTTACCATAACAAATTATTTAAATTTAACAGTATTCAGAACAGGGATGAAAAGTATATGTATAAAATAACAATAAATTATAGTGGCATTCGTTACAAACAACAATTATAAACGGCAAGCCAAAAAAATTTATTTAAAGCAAAATAAGAGGTAGAGTGTACCTCTCTAATTCGACAGAAATCTGAATGTATGCACTTTGCTGATGTTTTGTGTGCATGATTTTAATTGCATTATATAAGTTGCAGCACATTTTAGATGATAAAAATGTGACATTCCACAAAATGTGGTATTTATCAATATGACTTTATCAACCATAAAACTACAATGCCAATTTTTATGGATGTCTCAATTTCTTAGTTAACATTAAACCATCTAGCTTTTGTTTTGGTGGAAAACCGCATAGAGCTCTTACAACTTGATGGTTGGCACATGTTGCATTTCCAAATGCACGATATAAATGACAAAACTGCAGAAATTAGTTTGTGGAGCCACTCTGAGATACTGAAAACACCCAATCATGAGCTGCTTGCGTGTAAACGAACACAGTGCTGCATTACACTCTGATATCGCATAAATTTAATAAAATTAATTTGCAGTCTTTGCAATTTGATAATTGCATTAAGCCATATTATGTTTTTAATTAATCATGCAGCCCTAGTCTTGTATGAATTGCCTACTTTTCATGATCTAATTATTTTTTCAATTTTTTTCAATTTGAATATCATTCAGAAATACATAATACAGAAATAAATCGGTTGCGAACAGCAGTTCACGCAAATTTATTAAAGAGATGAAAATTCATGTCCTTCCAAATGTGACTGACTTTCTTTTGTGGAAAACAAAAAAGTATGTTTTGAAGAATGTTTCAGCTTTTTTGTCCATACAATTAGTCAATGGGGAGCAGTTGCAGCTAGGTGTTTAGTAACAGAGCAGTACGTTTCTTAGCAGAACCTTTCCAATGTACTGAACAATCTGAATCCAGAACTGTTTTGTCATAATGTTGCATTTCAAGCAGGTCATGTAATGATTGATTTCCCAAGAGATTAATGATATTATTTATTTCAGAGACACTCTCCGACTCATGCGTCATGCATTCCCACTCAGAGGCATTCCTAATGTTTTGTTAATGTTAAGGGACATTTTATTGGTTAATATTTGTTGAGATTCTCAGTTTTGTCTGGAGGCTCTCATTAGACAGCAAGAATGAAAAGAAAGGATATCAGTGTTTGTTTCGTGGAGTTAAGAATAATAATGAACATCACCTTCACCTCATTTCCCTGTCTGCGGTCAAAAGGCAATTTTTTTTTAAACTGTCCATAAACTTGTTTTCCTGCTGTTTGTGGTCTGTCATTTCCGTCCTCTGGCCAGATCGTCTGTCTCTACGCCGTGAACTTGTATTCACCTCCACATGTGGCCTCTGTCAGCCTGGTGCTTGAGCTTCCAGCAATGTTCATGAAAACAAATGCATGTCTTTAGCTAGTCAACAACTAGCTTACAAAATCTACATCATGTTAAGCTAGCATCTGGACCTCTCCCACTGAGCTTTGACACCAGCAGAAAGCTCCTTTAGCAAAACATTTTGACAGATGTGGTCAAGATCAGTGTGCAAACACAGCAAACTGTGCCCCATGTCAGAAAAAGTGTTTGATATCTCGGCCCTCTGCAAATGTGTTTAAATTATGAATTCCTTCTGTGAGGAAAGTTCCTGGCATGTTTGAAGTACAACGCCAAAGCCTGCAAACACTTGCCTTAGTGCCTTAGTTTACATTCTCCATTATGCTCAAATGGGCAAAGCAAACAGTATGAAATGACCTCATCTGTCAAAACCACAAGGGCTGGGGATTGTTGTTTCCTGGACATGCAGCTGTTGAAAAGAATGGTGAGCCCACCGGTGTCCTTTGAATTTGCGCTATTTTGTAATAATTACCAGCTCACTGTATATTATCAGTGTATGGAATCAGTAAGATTTTTGAAGGAAGTCTCTTTTGCTCACCAAGGCTGCATTTATTTGATCATAAATGTGATATATTTTAACATGTAATTTATTCCTGTGATGCAAAGCTGAATTTTCAGCAGCCATTACTCCAGTTTTCAGTGTCACGTGATCCTTCAGAAATCAGTCTAATATGCTATTTTGCTGCTCAAGACACATTTCTTATTAGGTATGTTGAAAAACAGTGCTGTTTAATATTTTTGTGTGATTTTGTTTTCAGAATTCTTTAATGATTAAAAAGTTCACAAGAACAGTATTTCTTTGAAATAAAAATCTTTTGTAGCATAATAGCTTTTCCTTACACTTTTGACAACTTAATTAATTCTTACTGACCCCAAACATTTGAACGACAGCATACACACACACACACACACGCATATATATATATATATATATATATATA